TAATTTGATTACATATCTCTGGTGTGGTTGAAAATAGAAAAGAGAAAAAATTAAATTGAAGAGTTTTAAAGAGGACCAAGCTGGGGCTAGATCACATCAACCAACATTAAATGCCACCAGGAAATATTATTCTTTCATCTCTCTTCTTTCAATTTACTATTGTACATCCAGATGATACTAACCCATTAAATACATCTAGATTGACATCTAACAATATATCAAGTTAATACATGTAACGAGAAATGTAATGTGGTTTGATAAAAATAAACTTATTCATTTACCGTGAAACTATAATGTCTTTGTCAATATGATCTTGAGATATATGAGTGTGTCAATCTCGATTATTAATCATACCTTTCATCCCACTCTTAAGTCAATATAAGTTGAAAACTTTTTTTGATTTATGAGCATATATTGGCCAATGATTTTGTTATCAACTTAACAAAATAAAATGAAGATTATAATCTCTTACTATCTAAGAGTGATGAAACATCTATATCATTCACAACTTTTATATAATTCTTGACATATCTGAAAGATGTCAAATTAGTGACTCTTAGCGAAGCAATGTTCTATCATCACTATAGTATGGCTGTTACCATATAAGGTACCATGATGAACTCAAGTCGAAGGACCAATTTCACTACCTAATGTTAAAGATTAAACATTGGCACTCAAATAGCTATACATGTGGAATTTTCCTAGCGAATTTCCAATGTTTTGTTTTATAACAAAATATTCACATATTGATTTAAGTGTCATCAAACTTTAACTTATGAGATTAGCTACTTACTGATATGTGTGTCTTTACACACTTATCAGGCACTTTAATGGGCTATTTATTGATGAAATTGAGCAGATTTCTATTCATAATTGTGTAATTATAGAGTTTGTAGGCCAAAATCCCAAATTAGAGGAGAAAATAGCTAAAGGAAGGAAAAGATGACCAAAAGTGCACAAAAAGATGACTTTGGGGACCCAAGTGTACAAGTACTGAAAGTGTAGGGACCTCAGGATACAATTTTTGAGGGCATGATTGAAGAAAATTCAAAATTTGAGGACTAAATTTACAAGATGAAAGTTAAGGGACTGAAGGCACAATTACCGGAGGACAAGACCTGTAATAACACGAAAATGGGAAGTGGCACTGCAGCGGTGCCCAGGCTCAGTCCGTTTATCATCGTAACGCCACTTACAGAGCGTTGCAGCTAGGGTCTGTTTGGCTTTGTTTTTAATCAGTTAGGGACCATTTGGCAATTAAAAAATCACAATTTTTGAGTCATTCAAAAGGGAAATTGAACTATTTTTCTCCCATTCTTCGTCTTGAACAAACCCTAGCTTTGAGGAGAAAAAGAAAAAAGGGGAAAAGGAGAAGATTCAAACCAAGATTTTGGAGTTCAAGGAAAGATTCAAGATTTCAACCCTATTGTTATTCAAGAATACATTTAAGACAAGGGTTTTTTCTTTCATTTTGCATCTTTTTATTAGCTCCTTCATTTTGTAATGAATCTCATCACATTCTCCACGTTCTACCCCTATTTGATAATGGGCTAAGGGTTTATATTTGGGATTTATGATGTAACTTGACCTAAGTTTCATTAATATCTATATATTCACCATTCGATGCTAAGGTACGATTGTTCTTGTGCATTTTTTATTGTGTTTACATTTCCATCATTTGTTTGGCCAATAGATGATTGGGCTAGGTGGTGTGTGCAATTATTGAGAGATGGATGTGCATTCTAGACCAAAGTAATTAATTCAATAGGTTTTCATAGGAGATATACTTCTAGCCCTAGGTGACCCATTGTGTTATTTTCGCTTCAACTTAATGTGGTTGATTGCATTTTTATCAACATAGAGAGGGGTAAAGCGAATCAACTAGGATTAGTTTCAATCGAGAGAGGTAATTAACTAAAATTAAAAAATCGGGTCTAACATTGTAACTTGGTAATTTACATTTTTTGGTTTGCGAGATATTAATGAAATGACGGTCAGGCGAAATCATGAATTCCAACTCATCTAAAATTTAGAACATTTTCACTTTCATAGCTAATAATTAAATTTAAGCCTAGAAGTATTTTTTCTTTATTTCTAATTTCAAAGAATTTAATTGTGTGTGTCTCTATCGCTAATTTGAATCAACTCTTGTGTAATTGGAAGAAACACTCTTTGAGGGATCGATTCGGACTCAAAAGTCCATTGTACCTTTAGCGAACACTTAACTCACAAGTAAGAAATATCACACGTAATGGTCCATCTGTAATAACTATATTTGTAACTTATTATTACTACAACTATGGATGATTTAAAATTCAATCATATGTAATTTGTATCTCACAATCACAAGTCCTTGTAATTAATAAATTACCAAGACTCAAATCTACGACTTCTATTATTCAATTTATTAGAATATAAACTCAATTAAATAATAGAACACATCAAGTATATATTAAAAGCGTTTATGTCAAAATTTGATTGAATCTAGAACACAATACTTACAAGTATAATCTTTTCTCTAAAAATTTACTCAAAACTCCTTTACAATCGCTTAGAAGATACTTAACCATTATAATTGTTGGGCTCGGCCAGGCTCACCTTGGCAAAAATCGAACATAGCTTGGAGTTGAGCTTGTTCTTAAGCATATGGAATCTGGCCTGCCAATTAGCAAGCTGCATGGGACCCATTGACAATAGATATTATTTTTCCAATTCTTTTGCATCTAAAATTAATGGATTCTTAACTTGCATTCAACAAGAGTTCATTCAAAATAATAATGATATTCATTTAGTTGTGCCCTATTGCCACCTCGATATGTTATAATTACAACTAATGGTGAATATCATTACTCCATTCAAAATTCAAATTAGGAAATAATACAAGCATGAAAGATGATTCATTAAGTATTTTAATTACAAATTATTTGTAGTCTTTGGCATTTGACCTACCAAATTATATCAATTTAGCATGAGTTTTCTGTTATTAGCCTATCCTCCAGATTTCATGAAAAAGATTTTTATGCGAACCCGGTTAGCACAGTCACTATCGAACCAACAAGATATTGGCATCAAATCCCAAGAAAGCCAAGAACAAGGTTTTTGACTCAATCCACAATATTGGAACCAAGCAATCCAACAAGAACGGTGCTGTGAAAGACCTCTTGATTACACAACATGATGAATTTCACCTGAAATTGTGAATTTGACTCAATAATCACAAACCAAACAATCAACACGGTCACATGGACATGCCAACCTTTTGATTATAAATAATTAATTGAAATCACGCCCATTGTTTTGAACGCCACAAGAACAATTAATTCTTGATAAGTCTGATGTTCAAGAAGAACAAGATAATTTGAAACAAAAGCTTCTTGAGAAAATTCTCCATTAATTCATCATAAAAAGCCTTCTTTACAATAATGAGAAAATAACCTATTTATATGAAATAACCTAGAATAATATTAAAAGGAAATAAATTTTAGAAAACCTAGAAATCTAGTAAAATTGGAAAATAGAGTGCTAAATATCTAAATTACCAAAAATAAGAAATTGGACCAAAATAAAACTTCTCTAGATCACATCAGACCTCTCTCTTCAAGAGGATTCGTCCTCGAATCTGGATCTATGTTATATCATTTACTTTCAATCAACTTAAGCATATGAAATGGCTCAACCTCTCGGATGCAATTTGGACCTCTTTTGACCTCAAACTCTCCTCTTTTGAATGTAGACCCAATCACCGTAAATCAATCAAAATGTTCTCGCCTCGACTACTTAATTTTGCAAGTTGGAAATGCTCGAATGAAAACTCCACTTGATGAATAATCATGCATCTTCCTTACTTTACTTGACCCAAGCACTTGACGCAATGTCACTTCCAATGTATCCATATTGTTCTTCAGTCCATCTTCCTCAATCAACTCTTTGCATATGTAGTTCCTCCAATGCCTTTGAAACTCCGTCGTCTCCTCAAGAATCATAAAGTCAATTTCCGGTAGGTAAGGAAAATCTAAATGATGTAGTACCAACTGATGTTCAATTTCTGGGACGAGTGGTATTCCAATGTGATCATTTTCTGAGATTGAATCTTTGATAACCTGCAAAACAGAATCAGCAAAGCAAGGGAAGGAAATGTTAGTTTTCTCCAACGTCCCCTCAACTTCACACTCCTCTTTATTTAAGCTCGCTTCCAACTCCCCCTTCTCCGAAGACTCTTTTTTCATTTTCTTTTTGCAACTCCACTTCCCATTTCGAAATTCCACCCTCAACCACATTTTCACGCTCTTGTGGCTTTTCTCCTTTTTTCTCACAACTAAACACCTCACAATTTTTCTTCTTGCCCTTTCATTCCTTTCCATGATCAATGTGAGAATTAATCAAGTCGCGAATTTTTGAGAATTCACGCTTATAATCCAATGTACCACCAGCATGCTTCCCAATTGATGTTCTACCCTCCAGTGGATACACAACTCCATCACCAAGATTTTTACATCACCTTTCAAGCCTATCCATTCTATTTCCCATATTCTCCATTTTAACCAACATCCTCTCAAACCGTCGAGTCATCCTTTCAGACATATTGTTTGGTTCCCAATTAGGATGTGTGGAAATTGTGACTCATACTCAAAAGGATTGAACTGGAAGATTTTGAATGGAATTTTTATAAATTCAAGAAAGTGATTTTTGAATTGGAATTTGACCCGATAGAAAAAAAATTAATCACAGAATTAGTCGGTAAACTTGGGGAATTTTTTTTGGGACCCGTACAGATGAACAGCAACGTACCGATGACCAGTAAAAAAAAGGAAAAAATTTTGACCTTTTTTTTTTCAAAACACAAATGCAATTAAACTACCAAAGATTTTAGATCTAAGACTCAAAACTAATGACAGACACGAAGAACACCAAACTAACATGGAAAACAAAAGCAAAACACAACAAAAACAACGAAAAAGGATATAACCTTGATTTTGGAGTCTGTGCTCTGATACCAAATGATGCGAATCCGGTTAGCACAGTCGCTATTGAACCCACAAGATATTGACACTGGATCCCAAGAAAGCCAGGAACAAGGTTTTGGACTCAACCCACAATACTAGAACCAAGAAACCCAACAAGAACGGCGCTATGAAGGACCTCTTGATTACGCAACACGATGAATTTTACCTGAAATTGTGGATTTGACTCAATAATCACAAACCAAACAATCAATACAATCACATGGACATGCCAACCTTTTCATTACAAATAATTAATTGAAAGCACAGCCATTGTTTTGAACGCCACAAGAACAATTAATTCTTGATAAGTTCGATGGTCAAGAAGAACAAGATAATTTGAAGCAAAAGCGTCTTGAGAGAATTCTCCATTAATTCATCATAAAAAGTCCTGTTTACAATAATGAGAAAATAACCCCTAAACTATTTATACTAAATAACCTAGAATAATATTAAAAGGAAATAAATTCTAGAAAACCTAGAAATCAAGTAAAACAAGAAAATAGAGTCCTAAAATATCTAAATTACAAAAAATAAGAAATTGGACCAAAATAAAATTTCTCTAAATCACATCAAATTTTGTTCCATATATTTTTCAGTCACCAATATTATGTATAAGACTTGTTCCATCACATTTTATGCCAAGGAAAAAAGAAAACCATTTTCTCCAGAACCCAAAAAATGGCTTCCAAATCCTTTATTTATGCTTCTCTTGCATTAGTACTCCTATGTGGTTGTGGATAACATTTGCTCCGCAAATAGTAATCCATCTATGCAACCAGGTTTTGAGGTCAGATCCTCGTTCCCAAGGGGCCAAAATCCTCGTGATTTGGGTCCAATAGCACTCGATATGGCCCTTGAGGGGACCAAAGAAATCCTACAAGCGGTTCAATCATTTGGCAAGGGTCCAGTAGCTGATACATGCGTATAAGTTATTCAAGATGCCATTTCTAATCTCGATGTGTGCCAGCCTCTACCTAATGCTACTGACAGATCTAAAATAACCGATTTACAAACTTATTCCTCAGCTGCTTTAACTGACGTTTCCACCTGTGATGATAGTTATGATGAAGGTGGAGGTAATGAACCTCCGCAGATCAGTCAAGCCAGTCAAAAAGCAAAAGTAATAATAGATATTCTATTAGTCATTGCAAATCGTTTGTAGGCCTAATGAATATTGTCAACATGAGCTGTATATAGCTGTATATCTAGCCTATCTATGTAAATAATTCTGACTGATTTCGCATATTAGGATAATTGACTAAGATATTGTAATTTATTAGGATCCTTCTATGTTTAGGACACTTACTATTTTTTCTCACGTAATTATCCTGTTATATATCCTCCATTGGAGAAAAATACAATTATCAGAAAATATTTTCAGAAAACACAACTTGACATGGTATCAGAGCCTGTCTAAAAAGTATATTCTGCATCCCGAACTTCTGTAGTAAGTCTAAATGGAGATTACTCCAAACGTAACTACCATACCAACCATGACTTCGGCACCGCGGGTTGTAGTTCATCAAGACAACTCTGCATTTCCGACTGGCGTCATTCTAGATGAGACTAATTATTCATTATGGTCTCAACTCATGGAAATGAGGATCGACGCTCGTAACAAAGCTGGATGCCTTATTGGCGAAGTGAAAAAACCTGCACGTGAAGACCCAAAACTGGAGACATGGAATACTGAAAATAGTAGAGTCAAGAGTTGGCTCATCGACTCCATGAGTCCATCCTTGATGCAACGATTTATTCGTCTTCCTACGGCTAAGAAGATATGGGAGGCGGTGTCTAAAACCTTCTATGACGGATCAGATGAAACGTGTATTTTTGAATTGAATAGAGGTCTTTCACTATCAAGCAAAATGGCCGCCCTCTCTCAATATACTATAATGAACTTATTGCTATTTTTCAAGAAACTGATCATAGGACTATGTCACAAGTAGAAACTGTTGAAGGACTGTTTCAACTTCATTCAGCCATGGCAAGGCTTCGAGTCCATATTTTTCTAAGTGGACTTGACCCTGAGTTTGAACAGGTTCATGGCGAAATCCTGTGAAAAGATCCCAAGCTTGATCTTGAGAGTTCATATGCCTATGTTCGAAGAGAATATCAACAGAGGCAGACAATGGGAGCATCTCACCGATATCTGAAAGTTCAGCGATGATAGCCAATCAAAATCAACATGGAATATCATCAAACTTTAGAAAGGATCAGAGTAATTCAAGTACTGGAAAATCTAGAGGGCGCGTATGTACTCATTGTGGAGAATCGGGCCATTCAAAAGAGCGATGCTATGAGATTAGGCTATCCTGATTGGTGGGATTTTAAAAAGAAGCCTCGAAAGAATATTGGAGGAAAAGCCATGATGACCTCTATAGAAGAACAGGTTCCACCTATAGCAAATGTTGTTCACCCAGGTACACTTGGTAAAGCTTCTGTACTCTCTGCCACTTCTAAGAATGATACTTAGATTATTGATACAGGTGCATCTGATCATATGACTATGGATTCTGGTCAGTTAAACACTCTTAACCATCCTTCTAAGTCAATTATTTCCACAGCTAATGGTAGTACTTCTCCTATTACTGGAGAGGGAACTATCATTTTGTCAGACACTCTCACCTTAGATACCGTTCTTGTTGTCCCATCCCTTGAATATAATCTTCTCTCTATTAGCCAAATAACATCTGCCCTTTCATGTACTGTAACCTTTTGGCCTTTTTATTGTGTTTTTCAGGACATTCTAACTCGGAAGATTCTTGGTTATGGTGTTAGACGGGGCAAACTTTATCATTTGCAGTTGACAAAATGAAAGGGGTCAGAGATCGGTCAGGCGAATCAAACAAGTAGTGAGAATAAAGCTCGAGCAACCATTTGGTTATGGCACCGAAGGCTAGGGCATCTATCTTTTGGTTATCTTAGAAAGTTACAACGACATTTGTTTTCTGGATTAAGTGATTTAACTTTTCACTGTGAAACTTGTCAACTGGTCAAGAGCCATCGAATATCCTATTTACCAAGTTTTAATAAAGCTTCTGAACCGTTTGTGGTCATTCACCTAGATGTTTGGGGTCCTGCAAAGATTCCTTCACTCTCTAATGCACGTTATTTTGTTACATTTATTGATGAATGTACTAGAATGACATGGATATCTCTTCTACGAAACAAAAATGATGTAAGTACAGCTTTTCAAGAATTTCACAAAATGGTGGCAACTCAATACCAAACACAGATTCGCACACTGCAATCTGACAATGGTACAGAATTTGTAGATCATATTTTAGGTGATTTTTTGGATCACCATGGAATTCGCCACCAAACTTCTTGTACCTACACCCCGGAGCAAAATGGACTAGCAGAGCGAAAAAATAGACAAATTTTGGAGATAGTTCGAGCCTCTCTTTTTGAAATGAATATGCCAAAGTTTTATTGGGGTGAGGCAGTAAAGTCAGCGGCCTATTTGATTAATCGAACACCATCCAGTGTGATAGAGTTCCAAACTCCTCTACAAAAGATGCAATCGATACTTTCCGTTCCTCATCTCCCAAATCTTGAACCACGAGTATTTGGATGTACGGTGTATGTTCATATACCTAAAGTTCTGCGAAGTAAACTTGATCCATGTGCGAAACGATGTGTCTTTGTAGGTTACTCAGACTCTCAGAAAGGGTACCGATGTTATGATCCTCAAACTAGGAAGATACATGTGACTTTGGACGCTTCATTTCATGAATTGGAACCATACTATGCAAGAGAAGTTTTTGGGCCATTTCGTCAGGGGGAGAGTCATGACAATGGTGGACATGGATTATTCAAAGTTGAGGAAAATAGAATCTTTTTTGAAACAGTACAGGAACCGAATGTTGCAACACCCACGGGTCGAGATCATAATGCTGACCCAACTTCGTGTAAGGACCAAATTGTTTCTGACTCAACTCCAACATTGCCCATGTCTACACCATTAACCGAAGAACCAAGCAAAAATGTCTTTCCTCAGGTAACGTCAAATGAAATTCTTGATGAACCTAATGAATTTCATACTACTACAGGAGAAGGAGCCAACAAATATCCACAAAGGTCAAATCGGGGAATCCCGAAGAAACAATATGAACCTGACCCTCAAGCCAAGACTAAATATCCAATTAGTAATCATGTTTCGCCCCATAGGTTGTCAGAATCAAATGCATTTACTGTTAATCAATTGTCCACTGTGTCTATTCCTAGTAGTGTGCAGGATGCTTTAGCAGATCTAAAGTGGACCAGGGCGATGAATGAAGAAATGGAGGCTCTTCAGAAGAATAAAACTTGGGAATTATGTCCTTTACCAAAAGGAAAGAAAATAATTGGATGTTGATGGGTGTTCACAGTGAAGCTCAAGGCAGATGGCAGTATCGATAGGTACAAAGTAAGGTTAGTTGCGAAGGGATATACACAAAAGTACGGTGTGGATTATCAAGAGACATTTGCTCTAGTTGCCAAAATCAATACCATTCACATTCTAATATCCATAGCAGCAAACCGAGATTGGCCTCTACAGCAATTTGACGTCAAGAATGCTTTCCTTAATGGAGATTTAGAGGAAGAAGTCTATATGGAATTACCACCTGGTGCTAGACGCAACTTTTCATCTAGAATTGAAGTTTGTAAATTAAAGAAGGCATTGTATGGACTCAAACAGTCACCCAGGGCATGGTTCGGACGGTTCTCCACTACAATGAAGGATTTTGGCTATAAACAAAGTAATTCGGACCATACCTTGTTTATAAAACACAAGG